GCAAAAAGTGAACAACCCATGTATTTTCCAATATCTTTAAATACGTCATTTATCATCATTGAAAACAGTAATAAACTTATAATACTCCCTTCCATTTTCTACTTCATATTTTCCTGAGATAACTTCTCCTATTCTAACTTGTATTTTTCTATTTGTTAAAAAAGTCTTTAATCCATTTAAATATTCTCCCTTTAATACCCAACTTGCATAATTTAATTAATTTAATTTAATTTCTACTATATATTTTCCTGAGATAACTTCTCCTATTCTAACTTGTATTTTCCTGTTTGATAAAAAGTCTTTAATCCATTTAAATATTCTCCCTCTAATATCCAACTTGTATAATTAATAATTCATCCACCCACATCATGTCATATGCCTTTTCTATATCAAAAAATACTGCTACTACACTTTCTTTATTTACTTGAGCTCTTCTAATGTCATGCTCTAAACATAACGTTGGATCATTTGTACTCCTCCCTTTTCAAAAACCACTTTGATATTTTGACATATATCCTTTACTATTTAAATAATATACTAATCTATTATTAATCATTTTTTTCATTATTTTACATAGATTTGATGTTAAAGCTATTGGTCTGTAATTTTCTGGGTTTGAATTATTTTTTCCTGGTTTGGCTGTTGGTATAATTGATTCCTTCCAGTTCAACGGTAATTTTCCCTCCTCCCAAATTTTATTATATAATTGTGATAATATATCTTTAGATTTTTCACTGAGTTGCCTTATCATTCAGATCTGGTCTTTACCTGGTGCCGTGTTTTTTGTCTTCTTAAGTGCATAATAATTCAATTCAGCTTTTGTAAACTCAACATTCAACAAATTATTTGTTTCTTCATCGTTCTGTAAAAAAATCTTTATATATAATTTTTGTATGTTCTCTTCCTTTTCACTAATATTATTTGAACTATGAATTTTACTAAATGTTCTTGCCAATATTTCAACTTTGTCTTCATCTCTTGTTATATTTGTATCATCTATTTTTAGTATTGGATATTCAGACTCTCTTTTTATACCATTCATTCTTTTCCATATTTCCTAAATTTTTGTTTCTTTCCCTATCGTACTACAAAAATTTCTCCAATATTCTCTTTTTGCATTTTTTATAGTTCTCCTTATTATTGCTTGTTTTCTTTTATAATCAATTAAATTCTTATAAATTGGATTATGTTTTATTACCTTAAATGCTTTATTTCTTAATTTTATTGCTTCTTTGCACTCATTTGTCCACCATGGCACCATTTTCTTATCAATCTTACTTCCTGATTTCTTTATAGAATTATCTGCTGCTTCCATTATTATCTTACAAATTATTAAATTTACCTCATTTCTACTTTTTCTAAGTTTATTTGACTCAAATATCTAAATTTAATGCAGTTTGCTTTATTAAAATGTAACTTTTCCCAAGCTTTATATTCTTATTATTTAGATTCAGTCCTACTCTTATTGTTATGGGATAATGATCACTACCTATTGTAGATTATTTATCAATGAACCAATCACTAATACCAGCTAAAACAAATCAATAATTGATTCCATCTGTTCTTATATTAATTCTTGTTCCCCTTCCATCATTAATACATACCAGATTTTTCATTTCCATGAATTCTTCTATAACTTGTCCGTTTTTATCATTACATTTACCCCACACTGCACTATTTGCATTAAAATCTCCACACCAAATTACTTTCCCTTCCAAATATTCAGTTAACTCCTCCATTATATCAGTGGATAATGTTTTACATGGATTATAAACATTTATTATTTTGAATGTACCTTCTTGTTCCCATATTACTACATGTTCCAGCTCTTTCCATGTTCCTAATGCCTGATATTAATAAATGCTCCTCTTTTCTTACACCATCAAATCCTTTAATCACAAAATCTAATAATCTAATCAAGTTTCCTGAACACAAATAATTTCCGGTTGTTCTTCAAGCTCATCAATAACCTTTAAGTTCCTGTCAGCAATTAAACTTCTACAATTCTTTTGTGTTTCAGAACCAGAACCAGCTTTATTGGCCCAGTTCGTTTGGTCCGATGGTTCTGATAGATCTCCACATAGAAGCTTCAGGTGATTCTGATGCTGCAGAACCAGTTCAAACCCAAAATGGTTCTGGTTCAACTGGGCCTCAGCTGGGAAGCTTCACTGCTTCCTCAGAACCAGAACAGAACCAGCAGCTAAATGGGTCCAACATTAAATAAGTCGAGGTTCCCCCTGCTCGTACCAGCAGAACCGGGCTGAACCAGAACTTCTGGACTGAGAGGAAGTTGAAGGATTGGTTCTGATGGAGTGGTTCTGACCAGCTTCATTTCCAGTTTGAACCAGAACTTTTCTAGAATCTAAAGAATCTGACAGAAGCAGAGATTGGACCAGCTGAATGGTTCTGCTGATCAGAACCGGTGAAACGGGTCAGAACCGGTTCTAGGCAGAACCTCAGCGTGGTTCTGGTTCTGTTGTTCTGCTGCCATAAAATAAAAACTCCTCATCCTCCCCCTCCTCTTTTCTGTCTGACCTTTGACCCCTCCTCCCCCTCAAGCCCCGCCCCTCCCACATCAGCCAGGCATCTCCGGGTTTTGGTTCAGTTGGAGCCCGACTTCAGACGAAGCAGGAGCGAGGAGGCTCTGCAGCAGAACCGGGTCAGAGCCAGAGGAGAACCGGGTCAGAGCCAGAGGAGAACCGGGTCAGAACCAGAGGAGAACCGGGTCCGAATCACAAGCCTGAAGACGATGCTGTTCAGCCTGATGATGAAGATGTTGATGATGCTGCTGGGACTCTGCTGCTCAGGTCAGACTCTGTTTCAGAACCAAAAGTTCTGTTCACCGACCCGACACCAACAGAACTCTGAGGTTCTGATTCATCTTCTGGTTTACATTCCCTCCTCTTCATCATTTCCTGGTTTCTCCTCCTCTTCATCAGTAATCCAGAAGTTTCCAGGTTTACGTTTCTTCCAGTTTGTTCTGAAGCTTTTCTGCTTCAGCCAATCAGAGCATCACATTTTTCATCTGACCAATAAAAACACAGCAGTGTGGTTTAATGAAAATCAGTTTAAAAGCTGCTGAAAGGCTGATGCTTAAATCTGATCGGATCAGAACCAGAACCATCATCATCATCGTGGTCCCTCTCTCTCTTTATCTTCCCTCCATCATTTGCTCCTTTTTCTCTTCATTTTCTTTTGTCTTCACTCCAGTTTTTACTTTCAGGCTCCCAGTTTGATCTGCTGCTGGTCAAACTGGGAGGAACTGGTTCAGTCTAAATTAACCCAGTTTAACCCAGGTGACTCACCTGAACAGGAAGTGACCCGTTCAGCAGCAGACTGAAGGACATCTGTCCAGGGGGACGAGAGGGGGACTGTCTGGTTCTCAGGGTGCTGAAGGATTTACCCCAGGGGGGGTAATTGTTGGAACCGTGAAGTTCACGTTCAGAGTCGGGTGGGCGGGGTCTGGGGGGGCGGTCTCATGACCTCCTGACCTCTGGGCCTGTCTGCTGCTCAGGGATGGGGGGGATGTGCAGTCAGACCCCCCCATGATGAGCCCCTCCCCCTCAGGAAGGAGGGGTGATGATGATGATGATGCTGGACCTTCGGCTCCATCGGAGCCCCGTTTTAACGAAGCGCCATCGGCCTGCCGCCATCGGGGTCAGCGTGTCTTCGTAAGCGAAGCAGGAGCTGCCAACACCGGCGGCAACGTCAGATGGAGACGGAAAAACGACAGACGGGAAAATTCTCATTTATTTACAGCTCATGGAAACATGGAAACATTCACCTGCATTTATTTTAGATTTATTAAAAATCATTTAACCTTTAGAAATTTCACAGTTATGCTTTGATACCATGATTATTCATCATAAGTTAGAAAAAAATTATAAAATTAAAATGAATTACAGAATTTTAAAATTAAAATATACTGCTCAAAAAAAATAAAGGGAACATTTCACTTTAATTTTGTGTGTGGCTGCAAATACAGGCCTCCATTGGTTAATAAATTTGATTTCCATTGATGATTTTTGTGTGATTTTGTTGTCGGCACATTTGACTTTGTACAGAACAAAGTATTCAATGAGAATATTTCATTCATTCAGATCTAGGATGTGTTATTTGAGTGTTCCCTTTATTTTTTTGAGCAGTGTAGTTTCTAAAGCAGCTTCAAAGGTTTTGGGTAAAAACTTAAATAATTTCTTCATTGCCTGATTCTCCAGAAAAACATCATGAAATATCAGCTCCATCGCTATGGCAACACCACGGCGCAAACAACGGCCGGGTCTGGGATGCTGGTTCGATTCCACACAGGAAAACATGTTGATCCATGTTGATCCAGGTTGCCATGTTGATCCAGGTTGCCTTGTTTTCAGGTGTTTTATTCTGCAGCGATGCTTTGTGTTTTTATCTCTGTATCTGTTATTATCCAGAACCAGGTTCTGGTCCAGAACCAGGTTCTGAACCAGAACCTGGATGAGGAACGACCAGAAGGTTCTGGCGGGTCCGACAGCTGCAGTGGGGATGCAGGAGGATTGTGTCTGGTCCGGTTTGTTGTTCTGATTGTTTTCTTTCATGCTGGGGGGTCAGAGGTCAGTCAGCTGGAGGGAAGGGGGGGTTGCAGACTGGAGCTGAGTTCAAGTGCAGCTTCACAAATCGACCAATTGGATCCTCCGATGGTCTGGAAGAACTTTATGAAAGTAATTTCAGTTCATTCATTCATTCATTCATTCCTTCATTCATTCATTCATTCATTCATTTATCACAGTTGATCGGTTATCGGTGCAGTGAGCTCAGCTACTTATTATGACCAGTTTAGATGTTTCTGTGGAAACCAGCAGAGCATCGTTTATCTGACTGATCCGATCACAACCTGGTTCCGTCCAGTCGGATCCGGTCCAGCTTCGGTCCGGTTCCGCCTCCTCTAGCCACTCTGGGTGGTTAAACAAGACCATCAGTTCTGGTTTGGTTCAGTTTGAAGAACCGTAACGGAACACAAAACTCCAGTCCAGGCCGCCGCCCTGCAGCTTTTAGATGCTTCTCTGCTGCAGCAGCTGAACAGAATAATTAGGTTGTTAAGGCTCTGGAGAGCCGATCTGCACCAGGAGGAGGCGATGAAGCTGCTTGATTCCAGTGTTTTGTTCCTGTGGCTCATCTAAAAACTGCAGGACAGCAGAGGACTGGAGTTTGAGAACCCGAGTCCTGAACCAATCAGTAGCCGCTTTGAAGCGGCTCAGCCAATGAGAACGCGGTCACCTTTAATATTGACCTCAACCCAAAGGTGGAGCTGTGACATCACGCCAGGTGGACTGGTCACATGACGTCAGGGCTAATGCTGCGTTCACACCAAACGCGTCTGACGCTTCAGGTCGGACGAGCCGCTGTTTCCGCCGCCGGTCTCTGGACTATGGCGGATGAAATTTAGAGACTAGCACCAAAATATGAAGCTCCTGACGGAGGTGACAGCTGATGGAGGCACGCCGCGCGTTGGAGCCTCTTCCCTGTGAAACACTGAGTCTGGCTTTTATTTACTGAAATCAACAGAATGTCGCGTGTTTGAATTCTCCAGATGATTCAGAGGTTTCCTGAGTTTCACTTACTCGCTCTCGGTGTTATTTACGTCAGCAGGACCCCAGCTACAGCCGCCACTACGTCACATAGCAGAGTCTCTCTGATTAGTTCCCGCTCCGCGTCCGTTGGCAAATGTTCAGATTTTCCAGCTCCATCGTCAACCTCAAAACTCTTGAAACGCTTCAGCCGTCGCGCCCTGGACGACGTCGCGCCCTGGACGACGTCGCTGCTGACGCTCCAGGCGCACTTGGTGTGAGCAGCATTAGCTCCGCCCACTCCCTCATGTGGCGATCCTGATTTAAGGAGTTTGATTTTAACCCAGAGTTATGCCTGCAGGCGCGACCGGAAGGAATGCTGACGTCATCATCATCATCACCTTCATCATCACCTTCATCAGTCTCCATGGTTCTCATTCCTCAGTAGAGCCTGCAGTGAGTTGAGTTGTGCCCTGAGTTTTGCCTGCAGGCAGACCTTATTGCCACCGTGTGCTCCAGCTGAGGCCCCGCCCCTCTCCTACCTGCTCTCCAGGTGCGCTGGGAGCCTCGGAGCTCTCCTTCCTGATGGAGCCCAGGGACGTGATTGCCGTCAGGGACCGCCCCCTGATGTTGCACTGCCAGGTGGAGGGGGAGGGGCCCGTCAGCATCACATGGAGGCATAATGGGGTTCCCATAGCAACCAGCGACAGGGCGACGGTGCTGGCCAACGGCACGCTGCTCCTCAGGAACTTTTCCAAGAGGCGAGAGAGCAATGAGTCGGACGCCGGCGAATACGACTGCGCGGCGCAGAACCGCTACGGGTTGCTTATCAGCCGCAAGGCGCGGGCGCAGCTGGCCTGTGAGTCACACCTGCACCATGTAACATCATCCCTCACCTGCAGCACACCTGACCTGACCTGTCTCCATGCCGCAGCGCTCCCAAAGTTCCTGTCCCACCCACAGTCCCTGGCGGTGGACGAAGGGGGTGTGGCCAGACTCAGCTGCCAGGTGAACGGGATTCCTGAGGCAAACATCACCTGGCAGAAGGACCGCCTCCCTCTGAGCACCGCTGACCCCAGGTGACCCTCCTTACCTGCAGCTCCTGGCAAGCTTCCAGAGTCTCGTCATCACGTTTCCCCCGGTTGTGTCTGCAGGTACACTCTGCTCCCCAACGGCGTCCTGCAGGTTACCGCAGTCCAGCGCTCCGACGCCGGCCTGTTCCGCTGCATCGCCTCCAACATCGCCAACACGCGCTACAGCCGTGAGGCCCAGCTGTCCGTCACCGGTAAGGGAACCACCTGAGGCCCGGAGGTTTGAAAAAAACAAACGTCTGAAGCTCTCTACCTGATCAGTGGTTCTGGTGTCAGCGGGTCTGGGCCGTTTCACTGATGGGTTCTGGTTCTGTGGGTCCAGTTGCAGGGTCCAGAACCTACAAGGAGCCTGTGATCCTCTCTGGACCTCAGAACCTCACCATCAATATCCACCAGACCGCCATCTTGGAATGCATCGCAACAGGAAACCCACGCCCCATTGTGTCCTGGAGTCGCCTTGGTAACGCCACCATCACCTGTCTGTCTCTAGCACCTGTCCTCACCTGTCCTCACCTGTCCTCACCTGTCCTGTCCTCTGCCACCAGACGGCCGGTCCATCGGCGTGGAGGGCGTCCAGGTCCTGGGGACGGGGAACCTGATGATCTCGGATGCGTCTCTGCAGCACTCCGGGGTCTACGTCTGCTCTGCCAACCGGCCTGGCAGCCGGTCCAGAAGAACTGCGCTGGGACGCCTCGTGGTGCAAGGTAAAGAACCGACTCTGGACCTCTGGCCTCACAGACAAACCGGGCTGATCCAGAACCAATCGGACCAGACAAATTCTGAATCAGTTCATGGTTTTCAGTTCTTTGTTGGAATCAGTTCCTCTCTGAGAGAGAGAGGAGCGTAGCAGCGTGACTACAGCGAGCGCTCTGGATGACCCCAGCCAGAGCCTGGCAGCTTCAATACAGGACAGGTTCATCTGCACAAGGTGGGACTGTTGGACTCCAGCAGAACCAGCAGGCTGCTACCAAAGGGTTCTGGTTCTGGTCCAGATGAAGGTCGGTTAACTTCGCTCAGCCTGAGGTTGGGGGGCTGTGGGGTCAGAGGTCAGGCCATTAGCATGTTGATTAGCATGAGAAGAGACGCGGCGCACAATGAGGATCTGGTTCCCACAGCGGTGCCGTCTGTCCCGGCAGAACCCCACCCGGTCCGACCCACCCTGTCACTGAGCAGAACTTCTGATGGACCCATTTATTCTGGTTCTGCTGGGCAGCAGCAGAACCTCTGATCTGCAGAGTCAGTACCAGCCGACCCATCTGGGTCAGAACCATGTTCTGTTTGACACAGAACCCGGTCAGTTCTCTGAGGCGGTCCAAAGAAATGAGGAAGATGAAGAACGCAGCGTCTGGACCAGAACCAGAACCAGAACCAGGACCAAACTGGACCAATTCTCAAAATTTGGGTCATTAGGATTTATCTGAATCATTTTCATCCCTCTGTGTGTGTGTGTGTGTGTGTGTGTGTGTGTTTCCACGCTTCATAGATCATCTTTATTTCTCTGCTAGTGAAACCATCCCCCCACACACACACTATCTGCCCTTTGACCCCTGACCCGCCCCTCCCCTTTCTTTGTATTTAAAGCCAAATGGGCGGGGCTTCAGGAGATGTGAGTGGGGTCTCAGGGTTACCAGGACGACAGGCGGCCAGAGGCGAGACAGCACCTGTCTGTCTCTGGGGGTGCAAGGGTCAAAGGTCAAAGTGGAGTTTAAACACAGACACAAAGAAGTTCAAGTTCAGAAAGAGAGATAGGTTCACTAACGGGACGATGGCGTGGGAAATCCCAGAGAGCAGCCCCCTGCTGGAGCAAAGAGGCAACTGCAGCTGCTGCTCTTCATCATCATCATCATCATCATCATCATCATCATCAGGATCTTCATCTCAGGCCCGAGTGTCCCACAGAGAAAAAACTTTCTTTAGCAGAAAGACACAGACACTTTGTTTATTGTATCGCTATGGCAATACATTAGCCATAGCTAGTTTTATTGTTGTGTTATTGTCCTAACATGCTGCAGCTCTGGAGAAACTCTTGGATCACATTCCTCTCAAAGCTGCAAGGACCCTGTTTCCAGCATACTTTTTCCTTCCACCCAATTTTCCCTCCATGCAAAAGGCTTTTAATTATTCAATCAAACAAATTTTATTTGTATAGCACATTTCAGCAGCAAGGCATTTCAAAGTGCT